AAATAAATAGTTTATTGAAACTGAAAATTATTTAAATGAGAATTAAATAGTTTGGTGAAACTGGCTGTTGGTCATGGGGATTTTTGAAGAGTTAAATTGTACTTACGCTTGTGCTAAGAAAGTTATTATCATTTTGCATACTTAAATACAATGCACTGAGAAAATTAATTTAGTTAGTTAGATTGAAATCTGCAAATGAGTCATACTTAAATCAAATCTTATTCTTATTTGGCACTACAACTGTTTGGTCAGCTGGGTTGAGGAGAGAAAAAATCGGCACTTGCTTCTCTGCGTTGCAAAATTCGCACGAAGGTTAGGTAGATGCTTCTGCACTTGATCTTTATATTATATTCGTGGGTGCAGCTGCTTTCGTTGTCCACCCATGTTGTGGGATTCGTCTGCATCGGTCATGCACACGTGAGCTCAACGGAGCCACTTTGCTTTCACGTACAAGACGGGAAGCTGCCGAGCTTCTGCGGCGCTGGCAGGCCGCCAGTTTGCCTTATGGTGTGATCAGATGATCACAAAAAATTAAGCTAAATTGACTTAAAAAGAGGTAAGAAAAAATCAGAGGCAGTGAAAAAATAACCTAAAAAAAGTCAGATATTTTACGCGAACAAATGTAACAGCAACTATACAAATTCAAGTGAACAGTACTCATTAAATTAATTTTTGAATTTTTTTTTCGAAACTTCGCAGGCCTTTTTTTATATCTTAAAGCGATATGCCTTCCGAACTCGACGCACTTACAATTCAACTCTGCTTCATACACACCGCGACACACATGCTTCAATTCTTTCTTTATTTTATTTTTTTTAACCTTCTCATCTGCTTCCAAATAGCAGAGTTATTGAAAGATCTTTTAATACAGCTTCCAAAAGTAAGGTCTGGCCTAAAAACGCTGCTTAAAAGTGCTGATTAATTAAGAGCTGCTAATTTTTTCCAATGGTTTTATAACAGAAGTAAGAATTTACCATTGCAATTAAATTAATCTTTTCTCTTGGATGCTCTAATTTCCAAAAAATCAAGCCATCAGCGATGAAAGTCGATGGATAAATAAACAAGTTGACCATCAAGCAACGAAACTGTTCAATAATTTTTTGTATGGATAGGAGCGGGAAATAATGTTACTCACACGCCACATCGTACATGTTCGTCCTCGTACGTACTCCTACATGGCGTATGAGTAACATTTTCCATGTTAAAGCTTGAATTTTTTTTCATTCGCAATTCAAACTTAAAATTAAAATATCTTGAGAAAATGACCTGATCTAGAAAAGTTGGTGTACAGATCCGCATTCTACGACCCAAAATTAAGTTCACATTTATCTGCGTTTTTTGTGCCTTTTTAGCGTCCCTACAGTGTTATTAGTAAAAAAAATGTCAGTAACGGTTCGTCAGACCTTGAAATTAAACGCACACAATTTTCGATTTCCTTAATTTTTCGATTCTCAGCTTCTTTTTGCATAATTTTGCGAAAAGAATTTTTTGAACGATGGTAAAACAGGTAATACAGATAAACGAATTTAAACATATATATTATCAGATAAGAATAAAACTTAGCTTCTAAATTAACTAATAATTATACGTAACCGGGCGATTGTGACCATCGTTTAGATTAAAATTTTTCTGGTCAAAACTAATATAGAACTCCACTTTTATTACAAATCTTAGCACGTTTGCTACCTTTTGCCGCAGCTTATATGTGGATCATCCACTCTTGATCGTCCACATTTCTGCGCCGTATAAAAGAGCGGGAATAATGCAACATTTCTGGAGCTTGATAGTTTTTTTTTCGTCAAGACAGGGTTCAACTTTTCAATTGCCTAATGAGCCGAAATGCTGGCAGAAGTAATCCTTCGTTTGATCTCCAGGCTAACATCAATGGCAGTGTTAATGCTAAACAGGTAGTCAAAGTCATTCACTATTTCAAAATTTTTGCTATGACGTCAACAGTAAAAAAATTTATACAAAGATGTACCCATTTCAGACTTAATAAATACAGACAGTCATTTAGATTGCATTGATATGAAAAAATTATTTGTTAAATTACGTGAGATGTACACTTTTCGTAATTGAGTATTCAATTCGTGTTCAACTTCATTGGCCCTCGCCAAAAATGGCCTTAAAATCAACAAAAAAACAATGATTTGTTTAGGTTTATTTGCTTACCTAAGATCTTTCCCGGGATTTTACGAACTGTGCGAATCTGCTCAATGGAAGACTTTCCTTGCCTTTATTCAGGAATAACTTCAATTTCGGACAAAGCCCACTTGAGCTTCCAATATTCTGGCAAGTATTCATCAGACCAAATGACACTCTACCCGCTTTTCTCTGCAAGATTTAAACATCTCAGCCGGTAAGCCGCAATAGTTATGTTCTCATTGGAGCATCATGAGTTTCATCACTATACAGCGGTCTGTGTCGCTTTGCAAAAGCATTGTAAAGTGTTCCCGCCGTATCTCAAGCGTACTCTGGGCGTATGTTACTAAATAGATCCAAGTCATTGTTCCCACAAGAAACAGTCCGGTCTTGAAACCATTTAATTCCTGCCTTTTTTCAGATAGAACATTCGCGCCGTTTTCGGTCTAGCAACTTCCCAAGCTCTTCGTACGCACGTCCTTCTTTCTCTTTTCTTCTTCTTTAAAGACATTTCCCTACCCTCCTTCTCTTCTGCCTATTTGAAAATACGACGCTTGGGTACTCGCTTCTGGTCAAATTTCAGTTCAGCAATGGTTTAAAAAATATATAAAATACTAAGCAAGTCGAAACCAGGGGCAAAATTATTATTTTTTGCTGTTTAATTTTTTGTTAATTTGCTATTACTTATTTTTTAATTATATTCTATTAATTAATACTTTATCATAAAAATTTAAAATACACTAGTAAAATAAAGAAAACAGTTGTGAATAGTTTATAATTTAAGCTAAATGTGGTTCCGCTACTTTGATTATTTCCACCATCACCTGCACTTCCACCACTGCCACTTGTGCCACCACCGCCCGTACCACCTCCTCCAGTACCACCACTGCCTCCGCCAGAATCACCACCTCCATCTATATTACCTCCACCCGTACCACCTCCTCCTGTACCACCTCCACTCGTGCCACCACCACTTGTACCACCTCCACCCGTGCCACCTCCTCCTGTACCACCCCCAGTCGTGCCACCACCACCACTAGTACCACCTCCACCACTACTTCCGCCTGCATCGCCGCCACTACCTCCAGAGCTTGAACCATCACCACCTGTACCAGAACCAGAGTCGGAGCCACCTGATGCAATCTTCGGTTCACGATTGCAGCCACTAATATCTAATGGCGAGCACAGCGTGCAGTCATTGCTGCCCAAGCATTCGTTTTGTTGTACTAAATTTGTTGCACAACCGCGTATCGCACGCTTTCCCTCTTCCACCTTCGTGTAACAATAAGAATTCGTAGATCTTCCAATAGGACATTTTTCAGCCTGCAGCTGATCAGGGTTGCTTGCACAATTTCCATCCTAAAAATTAATTTTTATACTACCTCATAAAGTTATGTTTTTTATTTTGAAACCCCAAAAAATATTTAGAGGTCACTCAAAGAATTCCATGTATGTGCGTTGCTAGGGGCAAAATAAAGAAATGCAATGGGAGACCAATCAAAAATTTTTATTACTAAAAATTGTTAAATAAACAATTGGGTATTATTATTGAAAGTCTCCTGAAGAGACATTCAGTTTTCCGATCGAAAAATATCGATTTTCAAGAACATACATGGGTAACTTTGAACGACCTTTATATATTTTTGGATTTCAAAGTAAAAACTTAAGGGTATATATTTTGCAGTGCAGACCAATTAAAATTACTGCCTTATTTTTTTTTTTTTTGACCATCCTAATGTTCATAAATGCATATATAAGTACATATGTATGTATGTATGTACATTGAAAATATTTTCGCCACTTACCGTATTCGAGTCACATTGTATGCACTCGAACCCATCGCCGCTTACATTATTGCACAAATCTTCGTTGCACTGATAACAGGCCCCATTGGCCTTTGGCAAATCTTCACCTTCCACGACGGCTTCACTATCTTCATTTGCGGTAGATTCTGTTTGACATTTATTACGCAATGCCACCGCTAGTTGTCCTAGACATCCTTGCGCCAGAACAGTTGCTATTTGGGAGTATAGGAAAATTGTAATAATCGTCTATCAAAAATGTTTAAAAATCGACTTACATCCATGAAATACAGTCACACAACTGTCCAGTGCATCTACGCACTCCTCCGTAGCTGCATAGCTGGTGCGTTGACAATTAATGCCCGTACATTTGTGGCACTTCGAGGCTGCATCTGTACGAGTGATCAGTAACTGGAGTAAAACCAAGGCTACTACGGTATGTATTACCACCACCTTACGTGTCCTTTGATCGGACCCGAACATTTTCTTTAGTTTTTACATTTACCGCTGCATCAACGAAATAACTGATAAGTTTTTTTGCAACTTATATTTATAGACAAAAGTTTTGCTACGGTGGGGAATTCACGCAGCACTTGTGTGTAATTTTATCTAGTAAATGCATAAATAGGTAAACAATATATAGTAAGTAATTCCGCAGATGAAGTGTTTACATTTGAATCTATTAGTAAAGAAGTAACTTATTTGTAGATAACTTTTTAAGTGCCCTCAAATTGGTTTTTTTTTTTAATAATAATAATAAATATTTACATGTGCAAGTGCATGAAGAAGACATACATATAAACATATGTGTATTATCGTATGTAAATACCTGATTTTTGTACAGTAGTTGGGAACTCACATCCCACTCAAAATTTGGGACTAAACCGGGATAGTTTCGGGCTAGTTGCTAAGGAAATGTTTGTGATTTCTTTATTCGGAAGATCTCTTAACTTACTCATACATACTCGAAGTCTTATAAAGAGAGTAATTTTATGCTTTCATACCTGAACAAACCTGTATGACTGTTTGAATTTTAGAAGTGGAAAATGTTAAAAATACGTCGGGTTTTCCTCGTCATATATGGAGCTGAAACCATTGTACAAAAAAACTTAATAATTAATGAATTTTTTTAAGACCAAGAATAGATGTTGAAGAAAATAAGCAAAATTGGACAATAGTCACGCCACTTTTCATAAAACAGAAATATGAAAACTAAGATAGACTGTGCGACAGCCGAAACCAGCGCGCACTTTGTTAGCATTTTCTGAAAGTATACCCATCTAGTTGTTAAATACTCGATGGATTTGCAAAAGTTACATCGTATTTTTATTTTATGATCTACTAAAGTTTTCATGTCTCGGCCTAAGTAGTTTTCAAAAAAGTTGAAGAAATGGTTAAAATAAATGTCCGAGCGAAGTTAAAGGTTAAGACATATATAGCAAAATTGCATGGGCCTGAAAGGGTCGTTTTGACCCTTGCTTCAAGAAACCCCGCAAAAAGCAAATTTGGAATGTCTTTAGAAGATTGATATATTCTAGAAAATTATTCTTCGGAAAATTTTACTAGCGTTCTTCTCAGGCAAAAACAAAAATTGAAACCAAATATCTATGTATGCCAAGAAGATATAACAGCCAAACTCAATTTTAAAAATATGTTTGTAAAAAAAGCCAAGTTATTTTTGCTCAAGGGATTTTTTGTCCAGTACACCAGATCAATACCGTTCGTTAAATTTTCAAAAATGCGGTTTAAAATTAAAGAGCCTCGACACACTAGTCTTATCAGAGGGTCTGACCAGACCAACATGCAAAAATACACTAGCCTTTTCGAACCATCTGAAACCGGCTATGTACCTGTGTGTGTGTGTGTGTTTTAGACCGAAGTAATACCGCATTTTTCTCGGTCTGAAATTGCTGAAGTAAAATACTACTCCCTTTCCACACTCGCCTATGAAAAACCGGTTTCAGACCGGTTTGGGCTGTAGATGTGCAATAAGGTTTTGCTTTCCCGAAAAGCGTTGCCACCTGTTAAACATTTAAATTCTAATTATTTAATAATCAATGCCATTATGTCCACCCCGTTCATTCGATTTTCAAAAATGAGGCTTTGGCTGTAGATGAGCAATAACATTTTACATTTTCGCAAATAGTTGGCACTTAAAAAAGAAAATTAAATGCAAATTATTTACATAAAAAGCTGAAGCAATTATTACAAAATAGGTATCATTCAAAATTGATTTAAAAAGCTTTATTGTTTAAGTTAAATGTAGAAAGGTTGGCGCCAACTTGAATTAAAGGAGGAATCAGGTAAGAGAAATATGTACATTTGTATCACCATATGCGCGCCAGACAAGAGGAGTTTAATAAGGTATTAGTTTAAGTATATTTTGAAAAGGGGTTTGCACCTGTTTGACAAGTAGAATTTAGTTAACTTATACACAAGTTATGTGAAATATTAAAATATGGGTGTCAAAGGTGTGTTGAGGTGTTTGAAGAGGGTTGTCACCCGCTAAAAAGGTTAACAAATTAAATTAAATAATTCAAATTATTTAATAACTTAAAGGAATTACACTATTCAACACTGATGTTAAAGCTGTTTTAACATTTTCACCTCGTTTTTCTCAAAATCTGGAGCTGGTGGAAACTTTGTACTTACGGAATCGTAATCAGCACAAAACAAAATTTGCCGCATATATATATAAATAAAAATTCAATTGAAATTAATTTCCACTTAAATGAATCTGGTAAAATCGTACGTATATGGCGTAAAGCATGAATGAACATTCTCATCTCGTCTGGGTACGCCATGAATGTACGTTCGTGCGATTTTAACTTATCCGTAATAATTGGTAGGTTCATATTGGGTCCGACATTTAGAATTTTTCCAATTTGACTTCATTCGTAATCTAGATTTTTTATCTTTTAATTCGCCACATTTTAATTCAAAGCGTATTAGTTTACAAGTATTTTGAAATATTGCATGTTCATTTTCATTGATTGGAATTTTGCGCAGAGCTCTGGGCCGGTTGACGTGAATCGTCCCTTATATATTTTTAATTTCTTTTAATTTTTAAAAACTTATTTTATTTCACCATTTTATTTTTTTTAAGATTTAATTGTTTTAAAACGAAAAACATATTTTTTTTTTCAACTGCATTAAATTTTTAGAAACCTAATTTTTGTATTTTTTAATTGAACCTTCAAAATTTTTTCAATTTATCGTATATTCTTTTCGGTTTTTGATCGACTTCACAAAAAGAAGGAGCTTATCAGTTCGTCGGAATTTTTGTTTTGTATGTTACCGCAACTTACTTTGGACCACGTTAACCGATTTCCATAATTTTTTTTTAGAAAAGGTGATATTTTTTTTTGTTTTTTGTTATTTGTTATTTTTTGGCCTTTATAACAATTATATTCAACAATTTATATTGAGCTCGAGGCCGTTTTAAATGAAAATTTGTATTGTGGAAAAGCAACAATAATTTGAAAAAATGGTAGAAGTGATAGCTATTTCGGAAATCACCACATTTCCTCATCAGACTTCTTCTTTTCTTTTATTTTATTTTGTTAATTAATTGTCAATTAAATTTTCTTTCTTTGATTTTCAATATTTGTTTAAAAAAATATTATTTTTTCTCATTTCATTAAATTTTTTAGTACTATTTCCTTCTTTTTTATTTAATTTCTTTTTATCTAATTCAATTTTCTTTTATTTTTTTAATTTAATTTTTTATTTCATTTAATTTTTTAAAATACATTTTTTAGTTTCGCTTTATTTTTATTTAAAATTTTCTAATAGTTTTTTTTTTTCTTTTAAAAAAGAAAATATATATACATGTTTTTTTTAATGTAATTTAATTTTTAAAAGAAGCTATTACTAAAAGGCGAGCATCAATTAGTCTATCCAAAGACAGTAAAATGGTTTCAAGATGGCTGCCAGCATTGACAATTGCCTTTCGAAGGGCTGTGGTTTTGCCTGAATTGCCTGTAAATCTACCTCTCCTTCTGCCGTGACCCTAAGCTCCGCCCGAATCGGTTACCGCATCTCTCACATGAGTTTCCCGCGTAGCCAAGGCTGCTCGAACGCGACCAAAAGAGTAGGAATTGAGTAAAGACCAGCAAACTGTAACTGCATAAACCGCATAGCAAGAAGCTCCACTATATCGCAAAAGCATAACTTATTTCTTTCTGCATAAGGCTAGAGGAGGTATCACCACATTTTGGTAGCTATGAGAGCTGAAGTGTGTGTTATTCTCATTGCACCATTGATGCTTACGCAGGCTTCACTTCAATGGTTTCATACATACATAGGTATTACCAATTAAGATCTGATACTGCGATCTCTCACCGACAGATAGGCATAATAGTTTTCTCCCTGGTATTGAATCATAAAAATGACTCCATAACCTTTTGTTATAAAAATACGATTCTTTTCTAAAATGTATGTAGTGAAAAGTCCCAACTTCCTGTCCTTTGGGCATATGTACATACATATGTACATCTATACATATTTATTTATTTGTATGTGTTCAGTGGTCAACAGATAAGCTAATCATAACGCCTGCAGAGAGAAAACTGCTTTTCTAATAAAGGATACTCGTGGTAACGATTCTTATCACTATCTGGCAGCCAAGCGCTTCTAAAAGCGTTAGGATCCAAAGAAATTAATTCCAAAATTTGTCGGAAAGAACGCGTTTCACAAGTATTACTGAGTCTAGTCAACGTTATGCTACTCAGACATAAATAGCAAAATCTGAAGGAACGAAATAGCCAATAATATTACTACGGCTAGGCAATGTAGTTTGGAGAGGCGTTGAATCAGAGGCACACATTTCTTTATCGCTCATTATTATTTTTTTTCTACATACGCAAACATTCCTCACCTCCTCATGAGACACTCTCAGAGAAAAGCCAACATTTTCCAAATAATTATTTGAAAACATTCTTATAAATGCAACCAATTCATTTAATACTATTTCAATACTTCCGAAATTTTCTACATAAATATAACTCATATAATTTCATTTTCAATTCCTTAAAGTCTCATGGCACGTGTGCCGGGCGCAAAATCAACGCCGTTGCAGCCTTTCAGGTCACCAGGTGAACATAGCATACAATTGGCATTCGAATAACAGCTTCGCTGATCTGCAACAGTTGTCGAACAGCCGCGTGTAGTGACACCGCCCTCATATTTCACATAGCAATAGGAGTTTGGCGCCGTCGGTGATGGACAACGTGCTGGCATAACCGCGCTGGATTTGCTGGCACAATTAGCATCCTACAAATATAATTCAAGAGTTTCGTGAATGTATGCTGTCAATATATGTATGTATGTATGTATGTATGTTTCAAGGAGCACTTACCGTGCTAGAATCACACTGCAAGCAAAGATAATTCGGTTGACCTAGATTATTACAACGATCCGCATTACATTTGTGGCATTCGACCGTGTTGGCATCACAGCGGCGACGCAGTGCACTGGGCACCTCGAGGGAGCAACCCTTTTGCAAAACGGTAACTGAGAATATGGGGATTAAGAAATATTTTAAATGAATGTTTTAGCTAAACGTTTCAAGTAAATTTTTGAATCGATTCGATACAATTTAAACCATTTACTTACATTTATCAAATACTGTCACACAATAATCCAAGGCATTCTGGCACTTTTGTTCTTTGACGAGTGATGTTCTTTGGCAATTAATGCCCTCGCAGGTATAACAGGTCCTTACTTGCTCGGTGGCGGCGCTGCTGTCGATCAACAGTACAACAACAGCCAGCATTGCTGTAACGGCGAGTTGTTCTATGCGTTGCATTTTGTTCAATTAGTCAATTCCGTAACTCAACGCTGGTTGCTTTTATAGATTCTATCGATGTTGTCAGTCAACTTGAGTGGTTCCTCTTTTAAATTTTTCCAATACTTTGCTGGCTTTATTCAAGTGTTGCATTTTATTTATTAGCGCTGGTCGATGGTATGTTTGTGTATATTATTTACTTATTTAAAGCAAATAATTCTGATGATATCTATATTGCTGTACTATTGTATAAGTACTTTTATGTATATATATATATATATATATATATGTATATATATACAAATGTACATATGGCATGCTCTCATGACGGCATTAGACGGCACCACCTATGTCAAATTCAGTGGCATTTGTCGTCAAATAAGTGAGAACGCATTGTCAAATGGGATCAAAACGCGGTTTCCCGATTGATTTGGATAAGGATAGGTGTNTATATATATATATATATATATATATATATACAAATGTACATATGGCATGTTCTCATGACGGCATTAGACGGCACCACCTATGTCAAATTCAGTGGCATTTGTCGTCAAATAAGTGAGAACGCATTGTCAAATGGGATCAAAACGCGGTTTCCCGATTGATTTGGATAAGGATAGGTGTTTAGTCGTGTACATGCGCTGCAAAATCGGCTATCTGTCAGTTTTTGGCCCATAATATCATCGGTAAAGGTATGGATAAAGGAGATAAAGTTGTGTCAAAAATAAAATATATTTGTACAGGCCAATCACAGATTCCGAGTGAACTCCCATTCTCACGAATTTCGAATTTGCGGGAGAATTTCTTGATCACGACGGAATTCATAATAGCGAGTTGTCACGTCAGGATCTCCGACGGAATTGATGATAGGCCTGGTATTTTCAAAAAAATAAAAAATTTCCAATTTCGAAAAAAAAATCCCGAACTTAGGGTTGGCCTTTTTACATTTTTCGGTGAGACAAAATTGTCTCCTCGAGACGGAAACAACGATATGAACGGTGGCGAGAATTCAAATAGAGAAGACATTTTAACTATGTAGTTTCGGCAACTTTTCTTTGTTTAAAAAATGTTTATTATTTCTTTATGAAAATATAACTTCCCAGCCAGCAAAATATCCGGAAACGTGTCCGAAAATGGAAACAATTTCGTATAAAAACCTGATGTTTCATCCGTTTTCGGATTCCGTTTTCGGACGTTTTTCAGATCAATTCTCCCACTAAAGTGTTCATCCAAGACGTATGTGCGAAAAACTATCGAAAACGGTTGTAAAACGGTTGTAAAACGGATGCGCTTTCGGCTGTTTTCCTGAAATTTGTCTGATACAATTTTTCGTTGAAAACGATTTCATTATGAACTTCGCAGAAACTTTTTCATAGTTACAGGAAACCAAACAAAAACAAATTTAAGATTCAGCAATTATATCAATTTGAATAACTAATTTTAATGTGTTGCTTCTGACCTGGAATTCGAACCTGGGACCTCCTGAAAGCTAACAAATAATAGCACACTTCTCTGCACACTCAGCTACTGGCGAATATGTATACATGTTTTCAAATGCTCAGTTTGAACAAATATTTTAAAATTATTGTTTTGAAAAAGATGAGAAAAAGGTACGAAAAATGAAAAATATGAAAATCGTTTTCTGAACATTTCCGGAAACGAAAAATGTACGAAAACTGCACTTTCGGCAAAAAGTACATTCCTCTGCTGGCTGGGTTACTACAAAAAAAAAAAAACACAATATAAAATGAAAGTTTCACTCTTTGTAGAACATTTATAAAAATTCGACGAATTTTAACAAATCTCTGGCTGAACCCATTTGAAAATATGTACCTCCAAAAATTGAATTTTTCATATATATGTATATTTATTATTTTTTAAATAATTTTGGTAAAAACTTACGTTATATCATGGAAAATCTTAAGCTTAAAAGGTCTGCATGACTTTTTTTTTTGAATTGTATCAACGGAATTAAAATAACGAGATTTTTGGAGGTATTTTCAAAAGAGTCAAGCTCACGTCAATCGCAATATTTTTCCGAAAAATTTTAGCGGGAATATAATATATATATAATAGATTTTATGATTCCGGTGGAAAACCCCTATTTTTTTTGGTGATGCATCCTAATGTAAATACATACATATATGTGTACGTATCTGGCAAGTACTTATTGATGCAATAACCTTCACAATATCAATCGCAAATACATTTTTTTCTTATCCTAGGTTATTATAATTGTTATTAAACAAAGTTAAAAAATTCTAGCGAGTCTATAAGCTAAATAAGACGTTAACAAGGTATAGAGTCCAATTTCTTGTGCATTATGAATTTGAATAAAGAAACAGTTTTAAAACCAAATGCATTTGTTGCATTCTTAGATAAAAAAAATGCAGCGCAGCTTTCCGCCTAAATTTTCGAAATAAGTGGTTTTCTCACATAGTACAGACACATTTTAAAAGTTTAGTAAAATATCTAGTATCTTGGTAGGAAATTAGCAGTAGGTCCCTGGTCTCTTTCTATTTTCCATGGGTACGTGTAGAATATAATAGCCTTTTTATACATCTAGGAGCTTTTCACTAGCCAAACGCGAAAATCGTATGGTTTAACGGATCTACCGAAACTTGGAACAGCACCTGAGGAAGGTAGTTGACAAGTATCAGAATGAAAGGCAGCAGCATATAAGACGAGGGCACTTCTGCAGGTTGCCTTCCAAGTTGACGGAATTCCATCTGCATAGCAGTGCCCAAATGCTTCCCGTATGGGTCCAGAACAAAATGTTCAGCAAGCAGTTTCTGGTAGAGTGCTACAGACGCGAGCTCCCGATCAGATCCTTGTTTGAGAAAGAGTCCACAAACCGGCACGTCAGAAGGCATATCTTTGAGTATAACGACGACTCGACAACGTTCAGACGACCTGTTTATAGTTNAGGCATATCTTTGAGTATAACGACGACTCGACAACGTTCAGACGACCTGTCAACGGCATTCACACAGAGTCTGTCTCGACCTTCTATGACTCTCGACCTATGAATTCCGTGATAGGAGCCCAATCTCACCTATTGCAGAGGACAAGATTAAACTACCGCGTAAGACCCAAGTTAATCTGGCCCAGCTATGATCTCAACAGCTATTTAATCAGACTCGATCCTGACATACCCAATTTCACCATTTTCCATCTGGTCCAACCCCGTTGAAACGGTAGTTAGTTGAGCTTGAAGACAACGGTTAATGGACAAACCGACCCATACGGTGCTTATGAGTGACAAGATAAAGGCCAAGTACGAAAAGGCGATAAATTCGGAGAGCTTCCACAAGAGGATTGGGGCTACATTAGTTTATAGGTTTGCAGTGTAACTAGGAAGATAAGTGAATAGCTAAATAACTTATTAATTATGTATATCGCAAACAGAACCATTCTTCTTGATTGGCACTGTAACCGCCTAAGCGTTTTAGGCCGAGTCCAACAAACTGATGCCAATTGGAAATACCAAATGAAGCCAAAATCATCTCCGCTTAGTCCTTCCTTCTCAGAGGAGGTCCTCTGTTACCAGCATCGTGTCCCGCGTTGAATGCTTTCAGATCTGGAGGCGATTTTGTATATGCGTACGACATGACCAAGCCAGCATAGGCGCTGTATTTTCATTATAAAGCTTATACAGCTCATCGCTCCGTCACCTACGATATTTGACATCGCCAACGCGCAAAGGTGCGTAAATCTTCGGCAAAATCTTTCTCTCGAAAACTTCAGGAGCCGCCTCATCAGATCTTTTCCGTGTCCATGCTTCTGCGCCATACACCAGCACGGGCCTTATGAGTGACTTATACTTCCGCTTTCGCCAACAATTTAAGTGAAAAATTAATTTTTTCTCATCTGCCAATTCCATATTAAATTCAAATAAAAGTAAATTCAAACAAATACATCGCGGCGTATAGGCAACTCCTTTTAGTGCCGACGAAAGCGGCTTTAAAGTAGACAAGTAGGTGGTTTGTATCGATCCTATTCTCGCAAGTCTTCTTGCAATATTTGGTCTCAGGCCACACTGATAAGGTCCAATCCGTTCGTTAACGGCGGGCTGCAGTCTTTCACAAAATATGCTAGGTAAGACCTTGTAACCTATGCTTACCGCCTTTCTTTTGGATTGGGCAGATCATACTTAAATTCCATTCGTCAAAGGACGGTAATGTTGATAAATTTGTTGTCAGATGAGGGCTCTGCTTATCAATTGCCTGCCGAGCTCAGAGTAGCACTTGTTGGCAAGAGGTATTCTTTGCTAGATCTTAAAGCTGAAATTTTAGTAGATATTAGTTCTGGTTAATAGGCGAACGAAGTCTCCCACTACTTCGAAAATGTAACTGCATTCTTAGGTGGAGTCCTACATAGATATGAAAAATGAATCGTGGAGGGTTAAAATCCGCACCTTAATCGAGGTTGTTAATTCGATAACGGTCTGGTACATAATATGTACGTGTTCGAAAACTATATCAAATCATTTTAAATTGCCAGTATATAAACTGTGCACTAGCTACCTTGGGGAAACTTTCAATCAGTTTCCTTTCCTTTTATTTTAGGTTTTTACGCACACTTGCCGTAAATAGAGTTAACTTCAGGCTTAGCCATTTTCTAGACTTATCTATATAATTCAATACTGTTCACGATAAGAAGAACAATAAATCTTTCAATTCCAACAAGTTTTTGCTTCTAGTGGAAAGCACTTAATAGTGATGAAGTGTCATACATTTTTTTTTTTTGAACATACCACATATAATGTAGTTGTATCAGGAATGCCCACCAGTTTAATAAGATTTGAAATCATTTAAGAAATCCACGTTAAACAATTTATTTAATTTATTTCAGTATTAACTGCAAAAAATACTGACTGGCAACAATTTAATATGGTGTTTTAATAGTTTTTTTTTTTTATACTTAGTATATGGTGTAGTTGGAATTTCATAATAAAATGGCACTTGGGGAAACCCTACTTGCACTTATAGATTATTTTTAAGTTTCAATGAATTTAAACACCTCACTTCACCTCGTGTGAGATAAGATGTCAAAAGTTGTATGCTATCAGAAGACACAAGTGGTTTTGAAATATACGTAAATACATATTTACGCACTTGGAA